GATAGTCATAGGGTACAATAAGAATAGAATTAGAATAGAATAGAATTATTGGCTAAGTGTGACTGGACACACAAGGAATTTGTCTTGCTGCAAATGCTCTCAGTGTACATCAAAGAAAAGATACATTCATCAAGAGTCAAGAATCATCAGGTACAACACTTAATGATAGTCATAGGGTACAATAAGAATAGAAATAGAATAAAAATAAAAATAAAAACAACAGAACAGAATAGAATAGAATAGGTTTATTGGCCAAGTGAAATTAGACACACAAGGAATTTGTCTTGGTGCAAATGCTCTCAGTGTACATCAAAGAAAAGATACATTCGTCAGGAGTCAAGAATCATCAGGCACAACACTTAATGATAGTCATAGGGTACAATAAGAATAGAAATAGAATAAAAATAGAAATAAAAATAGAACAGAACAGAATAGGTTAGGTTTATTGGCCAAGTGTGATTAGACACACAAGGAATTTGTCTTTGATGCATAGGCTCTTAGTGTACATAAAAGAAAAGAGACATTCGTCAAGAGTCAAGAATCATCAGGCACAACACTTAATAATAGTCATAGGGTACAATAAGCCATCAAATCATACTAGGAAGCAGTCAATATAAATCATGAGTCTCAAGCCAAACTTCCAAAACCTAAAAAGGATTTATTGGGAGTTAACACGTCCGGCACTGCCTGGGTGCAACCTACTCTGAGACACACCATTCACTGTCACCCTTGACCCTGGTTTTCCCCCACACTCTGGGTGTATCCTAATTCATATTCTCCAATGGGACACCTCCATAGCCAAGAGTCACCAATCACCTTCTCCAGTTAGAATTTTGCGCAGCAGCAACTTCAGTCACCTAGTTAAACTAACTTTGAAAAACTATTTATGGAATGCACTTTCGCTTTCCAAGCTGCCACGCTGCTCCCCCCCTCCCTTTCCGTTGGCAACTTTAAATTAAAGACCATAGAAATAATTTCATGAGTTGAGATTTAGCTGCCAAAACTGGGGTCCCTTGATCTCACTCCCCACACCTCCTTCCTCTAATCCTGGGGGGGGCGGGTGTGGACGTGGGCCTCTTTGATGCTAGCTAAGCCACTTCCGACAGTTAACCCTCTCCACAAACACACACACACCAAAAAATCCTGCAGGAATTTAATCCTCTTTTGCACCCTGCAAGCCCACGCACGGCCTAATCCCGAATTTGAACGGGGGGTCTGTGGCTTCCGGAACCCAGTTTGAAGAACGGAGAGTGTCATCTTCCATCTTTTAAGAGCGTTGTGCAATTCGGCAGCTTTTTAAAAATCCAGAGCGAAGTAGTGCATTCTCGAAGATAACCTCCTGCCCCAGGCATCGCCTCTGATGTCTAACATGGAATGGAATGGTCTGGGGGGGGGGGGGAGGGGGTCGGGGGGGGGCTCGTAGGACTAAGCGTGCTGTGACTTTATCTGCCGCAAGGGAAGAAGTTTCAGAAAGGAAGTCAGAAACGATCAAGAGGATGACAAGAGGAGTTTCTGGCCGGAAGAATCCATGATCCAGGACTTCTTTTGCAAGTTGGAATATAGTAATTTGGTTGCTGCAAAACAACGGCGGTATCTTGTGGCCCCTTTGAAGGGGCGTCGTAGAATCGTAGGGCCAGATGCGACCTTAAGAGATAATCTAGTCCCACCCCTCCTTGGTCCAGGCAGGAGATTTATACCATCCCAAGTTGTCCAGTCTTTATTTTTGAAAAGCTCCACGGATGGAGCACCCTCCAAAATGGTATTTTTTTGTGGTGAGGAGTTACTGATGGCCCCTGGCAAGAATTGTATCGCCCTTGATTTGACTTCAGCTAGGTGGACCCACCAAGATTTTCTGTCTGGCTACAGACTATAAAAGGAGAGATGGGAGTAGCTTTCCCCCCGGCTAACATCTCGACATTTTTACAAGAGAGTCAAATTTTGGAGAGTGATGGTGAAATATTGTTTTAGACATCCCTTCCCTTCCGTTCTCTCTCCTTTCTTCTTCCCTCCTTCCCTCCCTTTCTCCCTCT